AGCTTTAAAAAACTCTCTCCAGAAAACTACGGGTGACGTCACGGACACTACGTCCGTGGATTTCTACTAGCCTGACACAGCAGCATTCCCAGGTAAAAAAAAAAAAAGTACACTTCTATAATGTACTTAAAGTACTCCATTTTCACTCACTACTTAATATACTAAATATATTAAATATAATAAAATATAATAAAATATATAATAAAAATTATACACTTAATATACTAAAAATGATTCTTTAGTACTTCGTAAGATAAACTTAAGATCAACTAAGTGTACTAAACTGTGATATTTTGGGACACCATGAATATGAACTTCACGAGTCATACTTGGCTTGCTGTCCTTAATGGAGACTCGGCTTGAGTGCCGAGTTCAACCCCTCTCATTACGGTAGGCCTACTACCTAGAGGGAGAAAAACAGAAATAGAGGAGGAGATGGGGAGGTGGAGGGATGCCGGAAGAACTGACGCTGGGACGGTGCAATGAGAGCTGCTTATACAGGCTCCTAATGATGATTGACACGACTGAATGATTACCTCCTGAACCTACGTTTGGAACTTCATTAAAATGCACTTTTAACATACTATCTCTGTATTTAAAAAATGTATTTAGTCACCACTTGTAGTACATCTGAGTGTACTAGTGTATGAAAGATGGGTTCAAGTGTACTACAAGTGGTAACTAAATACATCTTTAAATGCAGAGATAGTATGTTAAAAGCGCATTTTAGTTCATATTCATGGTGTCCCAAAATAGCACAGTTGAATACACTTAGTTGAGCTTAAGTTCATCTTAAGAAGTACCAAGGAATCATTTTTAGTATATTAAGTACAAAATAAGTACGCAAAAATAGAGCACTTTTAAGTACATTATGGAAGTGAACTTTTTTTTTTTTTTTTTTACCTGGGTTAGCAAAACCAGTGGTATGAATTTTGGGGGATGACTAACTGTATGAGCAATGGCAGATGGGGAGCGTTTGCAAACAGTCACTTTTGCAATTACATTTGACACTTGTGGTATAAAATTACACAAATGGAAGAGCTTGGTTACAAAACTGGGATTATTCACTACTGGTTTTATACTATTAAAAAAACAGGAACATATGCAGAAACAACATTTGACACCTTGATAGAAAAAAAGCACAAATAATGGAAAAAAGGCTTGTGTTTTAATGAACTGAAAGACAAAAAGTTTAACTGAAAAATATCCCATAAGTGATCACTGTGAGGCAGTCCAATCTGATTTCGGTTGATCTGTCTCCAACAGAACCAGGTAATTACACAGAACAGTAATGGATCCCAGTAGCACAGGTTTACAGGTGTACCTGATCCTGCAGTTGGACCTCTTTCACGCTCCCCCACACACACACACACCTCTACTGGGTTAAGCATAGTACTGCAGATTGGCTTTCTTCTTCGCCTGCACCTCCAGAATGCCCTCCATATAGTCCTCATGGTTAAGTTCAGTGGCCCCACGGCGCAGAGCAATCATGCCCTAACACACAAAAGCAAACAATACACATTTAGGTAACATGCAATAACAATCAGGAGCGTGAGTGTTTAAGTGGAGCATTAAAGTGTGTAATTTCGATTCAGATTCTGTTTTGCAAATAATAAAAAAAAAAAATTGTTGTCAGGTATCGTCAGACTACCTATATCAGGTTGTATCTTGCATTAAAGCATGTGAATGAATGAAATACTTTTTTTAGTACACATGTGGCCGTTTTTGGAATCAAACTTGTCACACAAATGACATTCAAGTCCTGGGCCTTAACCACAACAGCAGTAAAGGTAATTAATTTAAAGGGGTCATATGATGCGATTTCAAGTTTTCCTTTCTCTTTGGAGTGTTACAAGCTCTTGGTGCATAAAGAAGATCTGTAAAGTTGCAAAGATTAAAAGCGCATTTTAGTTCATATTCATGGTGTCCCAAAATAGCACAGTTGAATACACTTAGTTGAGCTTAAGTTCATCTTAAGAAGTACCAAGGAATCATTTTTAGTATATTAAGTACAAAATAAGTACGCAAAAATAGAGCACTTTTAAGTACATTATGGAAGTGAACTTTTTTTTTTTTTACCTGGGTTAGCAAAACCAGTGGTATGAATTTTGGGGGATGACTAACTGTATGAGCAATGGCAGATGGGGAGCGTTTGCAAACAGTCACTTTTGCAATTACATTTGACACTTGTGGTATAAAATTACACAAATGGAAGAGCTTGGTTACAAAACTGGGATTATTCACTACTGGTTTTATACTATTAAAAAAACAGGAACATATGCAGAAACAACATTTGACACCTTGATAGAAAAAAAGCACAAATAATGGAAAAAAGGCTTGTGTTTTAATGAACTGAAAGACAAAAAGTTTAACTGAAAAATATCCCATAAGTGATCACTGTGAGGCAGTCCAATCTGATTTCGGTTGATCTGTCTCCAACAGAACCAGGTAATTACACAGAACAGTAATGGATCCCAGTAGCACAGGTTTACAGGTGTACCTGATCCTGCAGTTGGACCTCTTTCACGCTCCCCCACACACACACACACCTCTACTGGGTTAAGCATAGTACTGCAGATTGGCTTTCTTCTTCGCCTGCACCTCCAGAATGCCCTCCATATAGTCCTCATGGTTAAGTTCAGTGGCCCCACGGCGCAGAGCAATCATGCCCTAACACACAAAAGCAAACAATACACATTTAGGTAACATGCAATAACAATCAGGAGCGTGAGTGTTTAAGTGGAGCATTAAAGTGTGTAATTTCGATTCAGATTCTGTTTTGCAAATAATAAAAAAAAAAATAATGTGTTTTTTGAACATTAAAGCATGTCAACATATTCTGTTACACCAAATACACAAAATAATGATCTTTAAAATAGCATCATATGACCCCTTTAAGGTTGCAAAGCTCATACTTACAGCTTCAACACAAACTGCTTTACATTGAGCTCCATTGAAGTCATCAGTACAGCGTGCCAATTCTTCATAGTTCACATCAGGACTATAGCACACAAAGTCAAAGATACCGCCATGAAATAAATGGTGGGAGAGAACAATGCTAATTTTAGAGAATTGTTCAAATTTGCATAGCAGTTGAACTTCAGTTTTACAGACAATAGACAAATGACTATCATGCAATCCAATAAAACATTAAATAAGCTCTGAAAGCTGTTGTTTTGTTGCTTTAACTTTATTCTTCATTCTTTAACTTCTTGCCCACAAAAACTGTGCTCTACCACTGCAAATGTCTCATCAGTTGATGTGCAAAAATACAAAATGACCATTTAAAAGCAAATGCCCCACCTAACAGTAAAACATATATTAACTCAGAACAACACCCAGGACCAGCTGAAACACAAAAGAACAAATGTTCCATACCAGACATTCATCTTGCGTGAGTGAATCTGCATAATGCGAGCACGAGCTTCCTCGTTGGGCATGGGGAACTCAATCTTACGATCCAGACGACCTGAACGCAGCAGAGCCGGGTCAAGGATATCCACCCTGTTAGTGGCAGCAATCACCTTGGGACACACACAAAAAAAAAACACTTGACAGGGCTGACAGGTCCACAGTTATGACAGAAGCATATGGGCTCAAGTGTGTACCTTCACTTGCATGTTGGGTTGAAAGCCGTCTAACTGATTGAGTAGCTCCAGCATGGTCCTCTGCACCTCTCTGTCTCCAGCCTTCTCACTGTCAAAGCGCTTGGTGCCGATAGCGTCCAGCTCATCAATGAAGATGATGGAGGGCGCTTTCTCCTTGGCAAGAGCAAATGCGTCACGTACCAGTTTGGCACCATCACCAATAAACATCTGCACAAGCTGAGGGCCAGCCAACTTCAAAAAGGTTGCCTGAGAAAGGACAGTAAAATAATTTTAAAGTTTAATGCATCAACACAAAAACTGTAGTGCAGGGGTGTCAAACTCAATTTCTACTCAGGCCATATTTGCATTATTTGTATTCCCAAAAGGGCTCAAAGGACCAATTGAATTACTTTTTTTGCCTTTCTTTTTTTAATAAACAGCACCAGTTTTTGGAAATAGGCTTAATTTATTAATTTATTTTCTTTAATAATATTAATGTAACAAACATGTACATGATGCAGTTCATTGGTTCAATTTAACAATTGAATTTCAGTGTTTCCCCTAGTTTTACAGCTTTGGGGGGCATTTATTTTCTGGACTCCTTTTTAATGATTAAATTAAATTTTATTAATCAAAAAGCATGTCTAATTAATTAAAATCATGAAACTTAAACAATTTAACATCAATTTATTAAAAATGTAACACAAATTTTCATGTTTAGGGCCCTAGGAAAGGTTTTATTTATCTCAACCTTATGTTTTATTGTTACCAAATTCTGTTTTAGCATGTCTAATTATTTGAAAGCATAAAAACAAGTTCCATTTATTCTTACAATAGCCTTATGATTTTTTTGCTCAGAAATTCTGTGTTGTGTATTTACATTTTTTAAGGCAAACAATAATTTAATCTATCTTTTAAGTAATGAAAATTAAACAAATTAAATTTTTTGGAAAATAAATGTCATTTAATATTACAATTAAAATTGAAATATTGTATGATTATTCCTTAAAAATAAGTTTTTAATAATTGTAGTAGTAGTAGTAGTAGTAGTAGTAGTAG